GTTCTGGCTGAGACTATTTTCATTTCCCTACATGTTTGTTATTGAGGTCGTAGGTAGTGATGGTTTTATACTGGATGGCATTATGTTCAGAGTATAATATTCTAGACTACGGGTGTTAGTAAGTGGGAAGGACAAAAACCTACAAAACACTTGTCAGTATGATGTAGTACCAGCAAACCAACTTTGGATGAAAGGTTTCATCAATCTTAATTTCAAAAGAGTGATCTTTACTTCGACTGAGAGGTATAAGACACAGATAGATATACCGTAAATTAAATGTAGGTCAACTTTAGGTCAGCCTATGTAAAGACGTACTAAAATGCCACTCTGCTGAAATACAGTAAGCCGTTTGCTATAGGAGGTGGGTATAAGAGACTTTTAGAAAGTGATGCCCATTGACCATTTATCAACAATCATCCAAATACACACCTTGTTAATAAAAAAATAAAGAAAACCTTACCCTTGGAGAGTTTGTTAACTGGTGATGAGCGGCTCACGACTGTGATAAGAAACACTTGAAGGCTTAGAATATCAAAGGTCCAAAGACACTAATAGGGAACTAGATATGAAAACTACATAATTTGTCTTTTCAATTTGTGTGAAACATCCACCCACTGTCAGAGCTCATGCCACAATACTGAATGTAAAAATACAATCCTTTCCTGTACACTGCTGACACCATAAAAGGCAAACAAGAACATTAAAGGTTGGGTCATTGGGGCATTTCCTCTTTCAGACTCAGTCTAAGCTCATGAGGAATCACAATCAGTTGTTTATATGTGTGATTACATGCAGAATAGATTGTCAGTACATGCAAAATAACAAAGTGGACACTTCATTACAATACATTTTAAAAATGTCAAAGTTAAGTCAAAATATTAAATATAGTCTCCAGTGAGCTTCCCCAGAGCACATCTTACTTTCACTTATGCAAGCACTGACAGATTGAGCATAACCTCAGAACTGCGGTCTGTACACCGGATTTCGGTGATGCTGTTTCACTTTATATAGTGTGGCAAATCCACCATAGTAACTCACAACACTGCACCTCTAATCTGCTCTGGAGCAGGTTAACTTCAGAGGATCGAATTAAAACCTGCTACATCAATGGAAAATCTGAGTCATCACTCTACACGATTCTAACAGGGTGAAATGAGTTGACAGCAAAAAGACAGATAAGAAAAAGCAGAAGATACATTTTTACAGTAGAGTGGAATGAATTTGCTTTTCCAGATTTCCCATGTGTACAGTCTGGTTTGAAAATGGAGCTTCTGACAAACAAAGGGGGGGGGGGGGGTTAATTAAACAATGAATTAATCAGAACTATTCTAGCTTCATTTGAATCCAGCAAAGATCATTTGATTTTGACATAAGACCTGGCACTGTTGATGCTTTGACTCTTATTTTATCAGTGCAACTCAGAACAACAAGAGCAGAAATAAAAACTAAAGCTTTAATTAGACAAATGATCCACACACTGTCCAATATTTCAATGGTTATCAAACAACATTTAGTCAGACTGAGCTCATCACACATTAGTACTTCAGTCCTCTCCCCTTAAAAGTACAAATACACTCACTCAATTATAAACCTTCCTGTGCTTTTTAACATATTGCATTAGGCTGACTTCAAAGAAGTAATTTCTTGTGTTATTTTTTTTTTATCTAGTTATGTGATCTTACTTCACATTTCATTTTGTTACGTATCACCTTTTTAAAGCCAAATAATAAAAATAGGCAACACAGCTCTTACATGTCAGACATTGTCATGAGTCAAACTAAATCATCTGGTGTAAAAACACATGACTATCACCATGCTTCTGCTGAAGCTCCCATTAGAAGAGTGGATAGAGGTAATCTTTGGGCAGAAGCTTTCAGCACACCAGACTGTGGTGGAGGAATGCGCTGACAACAGTTGGAGGGTTGTGTCTGCAGTGTGTTCAATGAGAGACTTGTTCCTGACTCATATTTAGGAGCCTAAAACAGCCATAAGCTTGTGACTGACTGCTCAGACATTCATGTGGCATCGCTCCTAGAGACTGAAGAGTTTTAGTCGGTCCAAACTCACTCAGATCCCACAGCATTCAACTGGATGTTAACATCAGAGGGTAGGAACATATCAACAGTCTGATTAAAGAGTGGAAAATGCCCACATCTGTTGACTTTTTTGTGTTGTGAGTTTATAAAACATGACATTCTGTGCATTATTAAACTGCAAAGAGCATGCAAAAAAGTTCAAATGACGTTCACCTTGGTGTGCTACAGTCAAATACTTCCATCACATTAGTGTCAGTGAAAGAAAACAAACTGTTCTATCTAATGACTATAAGTACATTTGGCTAATAATACATTTACTGTGGGAACAGTTAACAAGCACGAATGTGTTTAATAATAAGGTGTGACTCATTTTATTTATGTGCAAAGTGTTTCAGCAAATAAATAAATCATATTTGTTAGACTCAGCAAAGACAACAAAACTTCATTTTACCAAATGAAGAAGCAGCAGCAAGGTCAAAGAAACACTAAAGAATCATATGTAGAAACTCTCCTGCTTTATCATGGGCCTGAGGCAGAAAGGGCAAGGCAATTCTTTATGGCAAGGCAATATTTTATAACTGCTGAGGACCACAGAGTGTAGAGGTGTCAATTTCAATCAATCAATCAAATTTTATTTGTATAACCCGAATTCACAAAACACATTTTGCCTCAGAGGGCTTTACAATCTGTACAGGGAGTGACACCCTCTGTCCTTAGACCCTCGGTTCGAGTGAGGAAAAACTTGCCCCAATAAAGCAAAAATTTGAAGGCGGTAATGTGTTAGTTGTGTTGTTGATGTACATGATAAACTTAGAGTCACAGTCATAAAGTGCACTCTTATTACAAAAACAGGTTAATTTTGCTGTTGTCTGATGTAGTACAACGACAATAAAG